AAAAAAAAAATCTCTCCTGATCTGTATCCTCTTTGCCCTGTTTTGAGCCAAAGTCAGGAATGCTTCTCTCCATCTGTTACACACAAAGTCTGYTAGTAATTTCTATTTAGTTTAGCTAATTCTTGCTCAGGTCTTGCCATATGGTCAGTAGCCTTTCCAGTTCTGGTTATCTCTGCATAAAAGGCACTTAATTTGCTTTACCTAGATTCTTTGGATGTATTCTTTGTCACTTTATTCAGCAATTTATGTAGATTATATACTTAAACATGGCATGTTTTGCATGTATGTAAACTTTAATAATGTGCGTCCCAGGATTCTTAGTGTCTGCCATGAATGTTTTCTATGTGAATTCCTCTTGTAGCATTAGGAACATGCAGTGCTGGGTTATTGCCTTGTGTCTTTGTATTGGTAATGCTTAGGGTCTATTTCCCTTTTTGTAGAAATCATTTGCTGTCATGCATTTGTGTCAGTCCTGGTATCATCTGAGCCTGAATCTGCCTGCTTGTGCCAACATGACTTCGTTTGGGTAGTTGAGTTTACCTCTGTAATCTTGGCAAAGTAGTAGTTTAAGCATACAAATGGCACTTCCAGGTGACTTCAAGGTTTCTTTTTTGGGCTAGCTGGGTAAATTTTGTACCTGCAAGTGTTCAGTCACTTGAGGTGTGTAAGCCTGTGTGAATGATAGCAGGTTGTCAGAAGCTTTATCCAGTTTATCAGGATGGAGCATCTGAAAGACTTGTAGTTGCTGTTTAWATTGGAGAAACAAATACAGTTTTGAGAGTTTCTTGTTGAGTATCTGAGAAATAGCATGGACAGTGAAATTAGTGATAAAACTTGAATTTCTGCAATTTAGTGTACACACCATGTTAGTRCTAAGAAATAAACTTGCCTGAAGATAGAGGTGAATGCATTCATTTAAAATGAGCAGAAACAAAGTTTTCTGCTCAGTTTTTTAATGTAGGGTTTTTGTTTTTTTTTAACATTAGTAGATAAAATTGTCATCTCTCTTTTTTATTTTTTTTTTTCCCAGTCTGTTGTTTATTTTACATTGTTTGGAAAGTCTCTTGGTTAGCATGCTGGGTTTATCCCCAAACACTCAAAGAAATATTAAACACACRCAGCAAGTTATCGCAGTTTAAAAGTGGGGATGAGGGGTGTCTTTTTTTTTCTTACAAAGCAAAAGGAAGAAAAAAAGATATCTKAACTTAGAAGTCTACGTGAGTTCATTCCACTCAAGGAGTATTACATGGCACAAGAGATTCTGAGTTTCAGGGTAAATGTTATTTGAAAGGTGAGCTATGGATCACCTGACCTGCAAGGCTGATGGGAAGAGGCACCAGCCTTTGATTGAGGTTCAGCTGTAAACARCTGGGAGCATAATTTCCTGAACTGTTGCCACCTAATAAACAGATCTGTCTACATTCTGAAGCAGCTCCTGTAAGGCCTCTGTAACTRGTTTTTAGTATTTCTATGTCAAATAAATATATATACATATCTACTCTGAGGGTTATTACAATATGACTTGTTATTAGTGAGRAGGATTTGTTCTTTTAAACAAATAGAGCTGAATAATCTCTCCCATTTTACCCAATCTATAACATTACAAAGTAGATTTCTCCTTTCCTCCTTGCCATATCTCCTCCAGGAATTAGGTGGGGTTTTTTTCCAGTTTAGAAGACTTAAAAATAACCCAATTTCCCAATTTTTAATTTTTTTTGGTTAAATGTATAAAAAATGTATCTGCTCATGTAAGAAGGCACACAGGTGAAGACCTTCACACTTTGTACATGGTTCTGGGCAACTGGTTTTGGGTGGCCCACTTGAGCAGGGGGGTTGATCCAGATGACCTCCAGAGTTTCCTGCCAACCTCATCTGTTCTGCAATTCTGTTATTTGGAAAATAGCATTAAAATTTAGTAGTGAATTTTAATGTAATTACTTTCACTTAGGGCTAGGTGTTCATTTAGACTTTCCCTTGCTTTTCTTTCTGGTAAAGCTGTGAATAAAGTGTGGTATCAATGCAGGTCAAAGCACCTAGGCAGAGCTGACGAAGAATAGATTTCTAGATATATATAATAGTAACAGTCAGGTATTCTGATTAGYATAAAAACGCTTGATGTATTTTGTCAAAAGGTTTATTAAGAATTGTAGCTATGTCCCTTTTGAGAGGTGGGCATGGTCATGCGTGATTCTTCATAATAATTCTGTGATAATGCTAAAAAAATTACAGAGCTAAGTCAGAGCTAACACCTGTGGGGTTTTTTTTGTTGGTTTTTTTTTTGTTTTTTTTAACAGCCCACATACCGGGGGACAGAGTTACCAGCCTGATGTACCCAAAATTCCCACTGCTTGCATCTCTGTGGAAGATGCTGAAATGATGTCACGAATGTCTCTGCGGGGCACTAAGATTGTTGTGCACCTGAAGATGGGAGCTAAGACTTATCCAGACTCTCCATCCTTTAACACTGTGGCAGAGATAGTTGGAAGCAAGTACCCAGAGCAGGTGGGTGAGAATGTATGAARAGAAACTTATTTTTGTTTTAAAAATACGAAAAAACCAGACCAAAAGAACAGTGCTTTCTAAGAAATACCTAAAACWACTAACTTTTATTCACACACACTTWTATATTTCAGACATCTCAGCTTTTCAGTCTTTTTCAGGTAACAGGTTTTATGGCTATTTTTAGCAGGTGTTTTATGTGCGTTTAGAATAAAACATCTGCATCACAAATTCTGTTTGAACCTTAATTAATTGTACATTGTTGGTTTCTGTTTATAATATTTSTGTTCTTTCTTACTCTTTTCTTTCAACTTCTTTGCTAAAAATCRTAAAAACTAAACTCMTGGTGCTGAAGGATTTGTGCCTGGTGCAACATTTTCTGTGTCAGCTTACAACATGAAATTACTTTTCTGGCACTATGTTTTATTGTGAAAATRTTGATACAACCTCAATTACAGCAGCACTAGAAATTGCTGCTAGAATACCTACTGAGCCACAATGCTTTTTTAAACATTGTACTTTTATGGGTTCAATGGAGAAGAAGAATGACTATCTCTGACCTTTAAACCAGTYATAGCTCTTAAAAGATTCTGTCTTTTCTGAGATCATTGTTCTATAACTCTGGCTTGTGGTGTCTAGAGATACTCAATGTTAGCATGAATGTACAGTTTCAGCAGCTTTATCATTGGGCAGGGAAGAAGTAACTACCCTGATTGTTGATTGGTTTACACAACATCACCTGTGAGTCTAGCTCCATGAAACATGTATTTACCAAGTTAAATGTTCCAACTTCCCAATTAGGGTGCATTTAATTTAATTGTATGTCATCTGCATTTTTAACRATGTTTCTAACCAGTATATAGGATGTCATTCCTGTATTATGTTTGTTGTATTTCAAAATCTGACATTTCAATTCATGTTATGAAGTGTTCAAATGTAATTTCAAATATGTGTTAAGGTGTTTGCCTGTACTTGGTTTTCTCTTTTCTGTCCTGCTCTGTTTCTTTAAGTAATGAAGGGGATTGTGATCTCTTCACTACTTCCACTCAGCAGCTAATTTTTTTAACCACTGGGTAAAGGCTTATTTACAAACCCCCTGCTGATGTTAATGGGAGTGGTTAGTGGACACACTTTGAAAACGTAACCAGGAAACAGAAAAATAAAACAAATGAATGTTTAGGTTTTTAGTATTCAGTTCCTTTTGGAGCCTTAATGGGTGCTTCACCRTGCTCATTCCACTGCGTTACTCTGRTAAAAATGGGAACCATCTAGCTATTTAGGCAATAAAATACATTGCAGATCCAAACCCTCAAACTCTTACAATGCCATCTGTGCCAAAGTGTTTCAAAATGCAGTACAAATCCAGGGGAACAGAAAGGTGCCATTTCCACAGGCCAAAATTTCAATTTAAGTTTTGGATTGAAACAAAAACAAATCTGGATCTCTGAACTCTGGGTGAGAAGTCAACTGCTCTTATGAAGGTCTAAAGCAAAACAGTTTAAAATTTGGTTGAAACCTGTGAAACGTAGCTTGTCACAGACATTGCAGCAAATTACAACTTAAACCCCTGAAACTTTAGTTGAAAATAAGGGTCACTGTAGGACGTAAAGAAGTCTGGTGAAAAGTGATTCAGCTCAAGATGTAACTGAACACTTAGGTATGTTCATTTAGGTAAACATTTAGATAAACTTGTGTTTATCTATATATTGACCAGAATTTGTTATATTGCTTGATTTAGAAATAATTCAGTAATTCCTTCCATGAGATTTTAACATGTTTATTAAAAAACATCACCATTAACTGAAATAATATTTGTCTGATAAGTTTACATTACAAGCAGTATTATTAATATTAAAATCCTTTAAAGGAGAAAATAATTTGTTTTTTTCTTAACTGTTGGGGTTTCTTTTCCAGGGGCATTGGGGTTTTTTTTCTGCTTTGTGTTTTTCTTTATTTGACCACTTYTGCAGCATATCCAGTTCAGTTCCTCCTTTTTCAATCATTTTTCCAAGTGTTTTATATGGATTCTTGTCTATAGCAATTGGGGCTTGGGGGCTAAAACTAAAAAAAATGCTTAGGAAAACAGAAAAAAATGTAGTTTACACATTTTTTATGTATTTTCCTAAAGGTCTGCTATATTTAAGATTTAGTGTTCTGAAACTCACCGCTGCTGCAACGAATGTTGATAGATACTCAGAATTCTTTGAGTTGCAAACCTTACTTTAGGCATCTATGTTTACCTTCAACACATTTGCATTTCCAAATAACTTAGAGCAGTAAAAGGAACATGATTACTGCTTTGTGAAGCATCAGGCTCTCAGGGATGCATGCATCTTCAGAGGTGATGGTGTGACATGAGCGCACAGGCCTTGTGTCTTTGTAAGACACTTCTGCACCCAATGTGCAAGTACTTTTGAAAAATTAACCCACTGATACTTCAGAAATACTTTAGGTTTCCTTTCTGCTCTGTCCTTTCTTTTGGCCAGCCAGTAGGCAGTAAGCAAATGTTTGAGCTAAGAAAAATGTGTGCTGAAACCTACTGCAAGCTGCAACTTTGCAGTATCAAGTTTTCAGGTGGTGTAGAAAGCATCTGAACAGAAAAAGGAGATGGATTTTGTCATGCTGYCAGCAAAGTTCAGCATCTCCCCGATAATTGTATTATTCCTTCTTAGTTAGGAGAGGACTGTTCTCCCCAARCAAGACGATTCCTCTGTCAGAGCAGGCATGATCGTGCATGTTCAGAGCAGAGGCATCCACCATCCTCGTGGGATCTGAGGTCCTTGTTTAGTGCCAGCTCAGGCCTGATTTACCTGTAGGTGCCCAAAGGAGGTGAGCCTGTGTCTAYAAGATAAGGAATTCATGATCAAACTTTTCTTTTTATAAACAGATGGGAAACAGAGGGACCAAACATGCTATGACTTGATGCCTTGGCAGCCTTTCTGAGCTTGGGATCCCATTCTCACGGTGCTTAGGACAGCAGCAAGAGTAGAAAACCTGTGGGCTGTGGGACTTAACCTATTTAAGCCTGCATGACTACTGACAATTGAGCCAAAGAGTTTGTGAAGTGACAAAGGTTTGGTAGGAGGACTTGCTGAGGTCCAGGCCATTGCAGGTTGGAGACATTTGCAGTCCATTTCTGACTCTTGGAGGAGTAGTTGAGCACTCTGTTGTACCCAGGCTCTTGCTGTTAGCATCTTTTTGTGCTGTATTGTGTGTTGGTGAGATGTTTTATTTAAACTATGTAAGCTGACACTGGAGACTGACTGACTGAGAAACTTACAAGTTAACTAATGTGGTTTTCATTTGAAATTCAGGCAGAGCTGGCAGTAAAACATGTTTGTCTTCTCATTTTAATACAGATGTAACATGACTGGTCTTAAAGTGCAGCAGCAACCATTCCCGTCTCTGGGGAAATGCTATAAATAGCATCTGTTTGTTGTTACTCTGGCTTCAGTGTACCTAATGTGCCAAACATGGTACCACAAAATATGTGATTAACTGAAAAGGTATCAAAATGGATAAAGATAGAACTCTTGTACAATCTTGACTTTCAGTGTCCTTTCATGTTGTGTATTTCTTGGTGTGCAGTGCTGTTTTACTTATCCTACAATTACTAAGTMATGGAAAAACTGTTTCCTAAGTGCCCTACAAAGTACATAAATWTAATGGTTTCTCATTATTCTGTGATCCAGCATAAATACTTTAGAGCAGAAACAGAAGAGCTTATAAGTGGCCTTTTCAGAATCCTGGAGACCTGTTCCAGGAATTCATTCTAAAAAGCTTTTTTGCCTCTGTTTTTATGGAATGTCGTATCCACAGTATGTACCATTTGAAAAGTGTCTCTATTTTGAACACCAYGGGCATGAAAGACCATTGAAGAATGTACTGTGGCTTACAGCCAAGGTTGAACAGTGCTTTGAAAGCAGCAGTCCTCGGGATGACCTGAGAAACAGAGATGCTGAGGTAACAGCACAGATTGTGAGGTTCTTTGCCAGTCTGCGATTGATGTAACAGAACCTGTTCTGCAAAGGAAATAGCTGCTTATTTACTTTTTCATTCTTCTTCCTTTCCCAGTTTCAGAGATCAGCCCTCTCTCAGATTTTGGGATACTGGGCAAAGATCCAGGAAACAAAAGAACATAAAAATTGTCCAGGCTTCTGAGCCTGTTAGGCATTCATGCACATAACGGAAGAAATAATTTGTAGACCAAAAATCCAACCCAACCCCAAGAAAATGAATCCAGCACAAAACAACCAGACTTCTCTGAAGATATATAATACTCAATGCAATGTTGTTTTATGGCCTGGCATCAGTTCTACATATGTTAACAAAATGTCTATCCATTAGCTCTTTGATGTGGCTTCCAGATATCCCTATGCTCAAAGTAAATCATGCATACAATAGAGCTTTGAGGAGAAATGTTTTAAGAGCCTGATGCTGTCACGTTATGGGTCCATTATCACATTTTCTCCATGTGGATGGTTTTGCTATTTATTCCAAAATGTTGAAGGGTTTCTAAATACACTTCTGTGAGCCTCTCTCCTGTGACTGTAAGCTGATGCCTGTTGCTGCTAGAATTTAAGTGAATTTGAAAGAATTAGAAGATTATTATGGAGGTCTGGTTTTGAAAGTTTTGAGGGTGCCAGCTGATTACTTCATGACTGTGAACTGATGGGCAAGGAAAGTAGAAAAAGAAATGGTAAAAAAGAAACAAGARAAAGGGTAAAGAAAGAACATTGGCATTGTTGTGAAATGTTGTTTTTCCTTTGAAGCATTTCAGTTTACATTTGCCGAAATAAGCAGTACCCTCTGGGTGTGTTTGTTTTATTAATAACTGGCTTTTGTACTGTTTACAAATAGTAAATAGGGGGGCTGTCTTTTGTCCCGTGCCTTATGGGAGTGGCAATATTGCTGTCATTTGTTCTTCTTTCAAACAGTGATCTTGTCATGATGAAAACAGTCAAATTAATATGAAACTGATTTTTTTTCTTTGTAATGTGATA